ACTCCATACAAATTTGACCCCTTCCCGTGTCAATCTAGTCAAAGGTGAAGCTAGCCTGGAGAAATCCTTCACAAACCGGCGGTAATACCCAGCTAATCCCAGAAAACTGCGGATCTCAAAAACGCTCTTAGGTTGTGCCCAATCCTGCACTGCCTCAATCTTGGATGTATCAACAGACACCCCTTTCCCGGAGACTACATGGCCTAAAAACTTGACCTCTCCTAGCCAAAACTCACACTTTCCAAACTTAGCATATAGCTTGTGGGCTCTAAGCAACTCAAGCACCACTCTCAAGTGTTCCTCGTGCTCCTCCTCAGAAGGTGAATAAATCAGAATGTCATCCACGAAAACGACTACAAAACGATCTAAGAATTCCCGAAATATCCGGTTCATCAAATCCATAAACACTGCCGGTGTATTGGTGAGCCCAAAATGTATCACCAGAAACTCATAGTGGCCATACCGCGTACGGAATGTCGTCTTTGGAATATCCTCCTCCCTGACCCTCAACTGATGGTAACCCGATCTCAAGTCTATCTTAGAGAAACAACGAGACCCTTTCAACTGGTCAAATAAATTATCTATACGGGGCATAAGGTACTTGTTCTTAACCGTAGCCCGATTCAATTTTCAGTAATCTATACAAAGTCTCAAAGCACCATCTTTCTTTTTAGCAAAAGGGCCGGTGCTCCCCACGGCGAAACACTAGGACGAATAAAGCCCTTATCTAGCAACTCTTGGAGTTGAATCTTCAACTCACTCAACTCGGCTGGGGCAAAACGGTAAGGTGCCATGGAAATCGGTGTCGTGCCAGGCACTAAGTCAATAAAGAACTTGATCTCTCGATGGCGTGGCAAACTAACAAGTCCTTGGGAAAGACGTCCGAGTACTCACAAACCACTCTCGGCAACTCAATCTGGATCTCATCACATTCACTACTCATAAGGCTAGCGAGAAGACCACTAAGCTCACTCTGCCCTCGCGGATCATACACCGATGGCAATACACTACCAACCCGATCCCCCAAGAAATGGAAGCAATCCCCGCTCAAGGTACATACTGTGACCCTCTAGCGGTAACAATCAATAACAGCCCGGTATGACGATAACCAGTCCATACCCGAAATTACATCAAAACCCGACATAGCCATAACTACAAAAGAAAATGGAAGCCTACGGTCGGCGACCTTTATATCACAGCCCCGACACCCCTGTTTCAAAATCAATTCACCCCCAACAGGTGAGACAACACATATAGGAGATGCTAATTGTGCCAACTCCAACCCCAAAACAGATGCAAATGCAGCAGATAAAAAGGAATGAGATGCACCCGTATCAATCAACACATTAGCAACCGAGTTGCAAAACAAGAAGGTACCTCTCAAAACAGACGGAGCCGATATAAGATCCTGTGCAGTAACAGCATACATACGCCCTGAAGGCCCCTGATCTACTTGCTCACCTCTCAGAGCAAAAGACTGCTACACCGACTGAGATGATGAGGCGCCCTGATTGGCCCTCGAGGCTTGAACTGACTGTGCTGGCTGAAAACTCTGCGTCTGTCTCGAACCAGACACACCCGATGTAACACTCAACTGCGGGCAGAACCTCTTCAGGTGCCCCGCCTGACCACACTGATAACATGAGGACTAGCCTCTGATCTGACTCTGGCTCTAAGGTCAAGCCAAAAATGAAGCTGTTCTCTGCCCTCCTCCCTTCTGCGGGTAAGCTGGAGACTTGTGGCCTAGCTGACCACACTTGTAACCTGTAACATCTCCCTGGCTGCCTTTCCCGGAGCCTACACTCGGCACTGGAAAGGTCAATCTAAAAAAGCCACCCTGAGACTGCTGAGGATTAGGATCCCTCTATCTCCTGCCATCACCTTGGCCATCCTGACTCCTCTTGGAGCCCCTCAACCTCTCCTCCTCCTCACGCATCATAATCTCTATATGGGCTGTAGCATCTACAAGATGCTCATACTCTCGGATTATAGAACCCCCAACTCTCATCTTGAGCCCATGCCTCAGCTTCTTCTCAAACTCGAGACAACGGCGTTCCTCAGACGCCACAAGCTCAGGTGCAAACCTGGACAAACTAGTAAACGCGGCCTCAAACTCGGCCACTGAAGAATTCAACTGCAAAAGTTGGGAAAACTGATCTCTCAACTTCTCCCTAACAGCGGGAGACAGAAACTTCTCCTGGAAAGCATCCACAAAGGCCTCCCAAGTACCACCAATATGACCCCTCGTGAATTTCCACCACTGACCTGTATCTCCCTTAAGCTGGAAAGCTGCCAAGGTCACCTTCAATACCCCGTCTTCGATGCCTAGCATCTCGAACGTCTTTGTCATCTATTCCAGCCACTCATTAGCCTTAAGAGGCTCCTTCGGATCCCCCAGAAACTCGTCCAAGTTAGACCGGAAAAACTCCCTCTTCAGAAAAAAAAGGCCCTGCATCAATAACCGGAGCTTGGACTTGATTCTCAGCTCTGAGAATGTCCATAGATGCTCTCAAAGCTCCTGCCATCTCGCGGGCTAAGGCACCTATGGCCTACTGTCCTACTGGCTCGGCCATATTGGCCTGACCAACACCCTCCTGCTGCGCCAGAATTTCATCCGGTATAGGCATTTCCTGCCTACCACGCCTACCTCCACGTCCTCTTCCTGACATCCTAATAAAGGTAACAAAGAACGTTAGCACTTTCATAAATGTGCTAAAGCTATAACACTTACGTCCTAATACATGGACAATTGTAATTCACTCCACGTAAGCACATAATCACATAAGCACTTACAAATTTCATTTCTGGATAATGATAGTCCCGAGGCGTTGCTAGAGTTCCGGTTAGAAACAACATTGATCAAGTGCTTTTCCAACAAGACTCATAGAAACCCAAAGATTCAATCAGCATCCTAGAAATCAAATCCCATACCCATATAGTCACATAAGCATGTTATCACATAAGCACATAACATCATACATCTAAGTCTATAACAAGCGAGACAAACCCATTGTGATACTAATCACTTCCCACGAACCCAAAGTATTCAAACCTGGTACGCTCTGATATCAAGTTGTAATGCCCTCAAAATAATACAAGATAAACCCACATTCTTGACATGCATAGACATAAGAGGATAAAGCATATTTCTATATATCAGAGTATTCTTTACAAAAGTATGATATGTTGACATCAAAAGTAAATTGCCCTACGGCCTTATACCTTTCCAAGCTAACACTTGGTTACAAAGAAGAGAGTACAAACTCAAAACGCAAATAAGCCCCTGGCTTGATTTACACACAAAATAATCACAAAAAGGAAGCCTTCAACTTCAACAACCTCCCAAGCTACATCCTTGGAGGTGGCATATCACCTGGACCTGAAAATGATGTCCCATATAGGGTGAGCCAACGCCTAGTAGAGGATATGCTAAACATAATATGAGCAATAACTTAAAACATTGCATGTTGATAAATGTTTAACTCATATAAACCAACATACAGCACAATCCAAATCCATGACAAGTATGTCTTATGATCCTTTCCAATATCAACAATTTAAATGAGATTATAACTCATAATAAAACACTTCCATACTTCACAATTCTCATAAGATAACAATTCAATATTAAAACACTTCATACTTCATAAATGATACACAAGTTTTCTGTATCAATGGAGTCCATTCCCCTATCTCCTCCCAAATAAAATCCGATTTAGGAGTCCATCTCCTATCTCCTCCCAAACCGGTGAGTACATCCCTATCTTCTCCACACAATACAATGCATATAACAATTATCATATACACGATCAATCAATACACAAATTCGATGTATTATTCCAACCGTCATATTCAATGACATATTCAACCGATTAGTTTTATTTCACCTAATCATCATGTAGTGTCTACAACAATCAATAAGCTCATTTTAAGACCCAAGATATACATATATTGGTCAAAATAGCAAAACCTCTCTTTATTCAAGTTGAAACCCTAACACCCAAAATCACCGGAATGAAGTGCACCGACTTAATGATCAAAAGTTTATGTCAAATATCATAAAAATGAATAGTTATCCCTACCTCAAATGGAGAGACCAAATGGAGAAGATGAAGGATTTCGAAGCCAATAATTTTCGAATCAAAATGAAGAGCAAGCCATCCCTTCCTCTTCCTTTCAAGATTTCTCTTTTGTTCTCCTTCCTCTCCTTTAGTCGAATGTGTGTGTGTGAGAGTGTTACTAGTGTTTGCCATGCTAGGGAATGGTGATATTTATAGGCAAACCTGGTGTAACATGGCATAGAAGCCCACTGGTTAGAATTGAAAAGTCGAGTTAGGATTTATTGGTTCATTAAAGCCCACTAATAAATACTAGTTGGATTATGGAAAGACACTAGTTGGATTATGAAAAGACACTAGTTGTCATTAAATGAACATTAATAAGGATATTAAATGAACTACTAATAAGGATATTAAATGAACAAGTTTGTCATAAAAGCCTACTAATTGGAATTTGAAAGGACAAGTTTGAATATGAATGGACCATTATGAAAATTTAATGGACACTAACCCTTGGTTTCCAACCACAATCAACTTGTTTTCCCAAACACACCCAACCTGTTTCAAACCTGCCCAACACGACCCAAGACTCATATACAAAGAGTAAAGGATGAAAACAGTAATAAAACAACAACACATCCATGGAACCGAGTCTGAAATACAATTAAACAATGAAGGGAAAACCGGGATCGCTATATAGATTGGACAAGAATGATTGGAAAAACAATAAATGATAATATATTTTATCAAATAAGATTTAATAGAGAAAATTATTTAGATGGTGCTTTCTGTAACCCTTGCAATTATACTCAAACCTTGTGATACTTGTACTTCTGCTCCAGATTAAATCTAGTAGTACTGCCGTTGAATCCATTGAGTACCAGATTCCTCACTGCATCAACCCCTTGTCAAAATTAAAGACACAGTATGGTATGAAAGCATAAACTCTTATGAACTAAATTGGGATGCCCAACCAATAGTAGTGACTAACATCAATTCCTATTAACATAAACTCCTAGTAGACATATGTATGGTTTATATAATTTAATTTATTTGTTTGGTTGACAAGAAATAGAATTGTAGTGCCCTTATTTTAAATTTTTGCTTCCCTCTTCTTTCATTAGAAATGGACTCATTTACTTGGGTTTGGATCCAGAGATTACATGTAGCTTTAAGCACAATCGTATCCAAGAGATTACCTGGGTCTACATGCATAAATCTTGGGTGCATCTTTCAAGGTTTTTTTTCTCAAACACAATAACTTTTAAGCTTTTATATGGTCATTTTATTGGAATAATAAAGTTTGATGTAAAATTATCAGAGTGTCGAAGGATTATCTGGATGGAGCACGCAAATTCGTAGATATAGCTAAGGCGAATGTAGGGAATCCCGAAATGATCGTTTGCCCTTGTAGAAATTGTCGAAATCTATCTCACCAATTTTGCGAGATTGTGTACGAGCACTTGGTCATGGAAGGGATGGATCCTAAGTATACTTCTTGGTTCCTTCACGGGGAACAACTAATTGCATCATCACATCAGGAAGATATTGAAATTTCAGATACATATAAGATGTTCAGAGACGTGCATTTTAAAGATGATGATTTTGCAGAGTCTACAAGTGAAAGTAGAGAGATAGAATTAACACAATCATTAGAAGATATTGACACTCCTTTATATCCAGGGTGTACAAAGTACACTAAATTCTCAGCAATTGTTGCTTTATACAAGCATAAAGTTGCACATGATCTTTCTGATGAAAGCTTTGATGAACTTCTTCGAATAGTGTCTGATATGCTACAAGAAGATAACAAGCTTGTCAAATCTATATATTCAACAAAAAAGATGCTCAAAGCCTTTGATCTAGGATATAAGAAAATCCATGCTTGTGTGAATGATTGCTGTTTGTTTAGAAAAGATTTAGAGCTTACGGAGACGTGTCCGAAATGCAATTATTCATGTTGGAAAGTGGATAAACGCACTAAGAAGATTAAAAAGGAGGTTCCTGCGAAGGTGTTGCGATTTTTTCCAATAATACCAAGATTTAAAAGGATGTTCAAGTCACAAGAGAGGGCAAAGCAATTAACGTGGCACTCCTCTCACAAAAGGCAAGATGGCAAGATAAGACATCCAGTTGACTCATTGGCATGGGAATCAATCAATCAAAAGTGGCCTTCTTTTGCATCAGATCCACGAAATCTTAGACTTGGTCTTTCAACAGATGGGTTTAATCCTTTAGACAATCTTAGCTCAAAGTATAGTTGCTGGCCAGTGATATTAGTTACATATAACCTTCCCCTATGGTTATGCATGGCAAAGGAAAATATCATGTTGACATTACTAATTCCAGGGCCAAAGCAACCAGGCAACAACATAGATGTTTATCTAGAGCTGCTTGTGGAAGACCTAATAGAATTATGGACTAATGGTGTCAGGGCTTATGATGAAGCCAACAACTCCATGTTTAATTTGAAGATTATTTTGATGTGGACAATAAATGATTTTCCAGCTTATGGAAACTTAGCTGGATGCACCATAAAGGGAAAAGTTGCTTGTCCAATATGTAGTACTGACACATGTTCACAATGGTTGATTAATAGTAAAAAGACTGTGTACATGGGCCACAGGCGATTTCTTGCACCTGACCATCCATTTTGGATGAAAAGAAGTTGGTTTGATTGTAACGCCCTCAAAATAACAACATTAAACTAACAACATTCTTTTATACATTAGAGTTCCATTACATAAGTATTACATGTTACATCAAAACAAAATGCCCTACGGGCTTACAGCTTTCCAAGTTATCACTTGGTTACAACAAAAGAGTACTAACTCATATACATTAAGCCCTTGGCTTGTATTTACATGTAATACATCAAAAAGAGAAACGACAACATTATGTCCGCCTCTAGCCTCCCAAGCTATGTCCTTGGAGGTGGCATGCTTCCTGCACCTGAAAATGATATTCCCATATAGGGTGAGCCACAGCCCAGTAGAAATACACTAAACCAACCATGAACAATGACTAAAATATTAGCAATTGATAGATGGCCAACACTGATACAATCACATAAATCACATATTTATGTCATACGACTTATGAGTCCAAGTTACCTTTCATTTTCCCTTTTTCAACGGATAGGCATATAAGCACTACCCACATTCTCAACAGATATGCATAACAACAATATCCACAGATAAGCATACAAGCGAGTAATTAACTTAGTAATTTATGGTGAATTTACTGAGTAATTTACTACGTAATATACTGAGAATTTACT